TGTACGTAAGCTTCCGCGGCTCGAATTCATGAATTCTCGGCTGTCCGGGAGACGCCGCGTCGTTGGCTGGGGTGCCGACGTTTCGCCCGACATTTCGCAGGCTTCCTCAGGGTAGTGAGGAAGGTCACTACCCTGAGGAAGCCTGCGAAATGTCGGGCGAAACGTCGGCACCCCAGCCAACGACGCGGCGTCTCCCGGACAGCCGAGAATTCAACAGACTAAATTGTCACAAAGTTATGCATTTAAATATTTTGTGAAAAGGAAGTTTTAAAGAGAACCTTTCTTGCATTTTATCTGTATTAATACATGTGAACATTCACCATTTGGTGGAATCAATGTGTATCAAAAAATTTCTGCATTCATTATCACTTATTTTATATCAATAATCAATGATATTAAATAGTAAACTTATTAAATGTCAGAAATTTTATACACACAAATTTATATATTGTGAAGCTTAATATACATAGTAGAGGAATTGATTGCCTAATTATTTTTCTTCTTCACTTCATGGATTAGGCTACTGCTTGTTCCGACATCACAGTTTCTCTCCATCGTTTTCGTGGCCTTCCCACATCTCTTCTTCCTCTCGCCGCGTATAACAAAGCTGCTTAGGGAAGTCTGCTATCACTCATCCTTTCCACATGTTCTACCCATCTTTGTCCATATTCTTGCATTCTAGTATTAATTGATGTCACTTGTAACTCTTTTCTTATTTCTTCATTTCTTATTCGGTCTTCTCCTGTGCATCCTTTTATTCTTCGCAGAAATTTCATTGCTACTTCGTATTGTTGTCAGTGTTTTTTGTGTTAATACCCAGCTTTCGCATCCGTAGAGTAATGTAGGAACTGCCATAGTATTGTAAAATTTAATTCTTGTTTCCGGTCTTGTCTTATTTTTTCAAGTGTTGTGTACCGTTCCACATATTTTTTGATATTTCGTTAATTTATTGTCAATATCTTTATCTTTTTCATATCTTATTTTTTGATATTTTGTTAATTTATTGTCAATATCTTTATCTTTTTCATAACTTATTTTACACCCTAAATAATTAAAGGAAAGAACTTGCTCTATAATTTTGTTTTCAATGACAATTTTTGACCTTACTGTGTCCTTCCCCCTGAATGCCATCACTTTTGTTTTTTTCTTTTGATATATTAATGTCATAGCTTTTGCAAATTTTATTAAGGTGGTGTACTACTCTCTGTAGTTCGTCTTCTGTTTCCTGGATAATAACTGTGTCATCAGCATAGAATAAAATCGTTAATCTCTCTTCTTTGGTCATTCTTATACCAGTGTCAACTTTCTGTTTTAAGAACTTACTTATGTCCTGTACATAGATATTAAATAATATAGGTGATATAGGACAACCTTGCTTTACCCCTTTATTTCTTATTATCTCTTCAGATACTGTGTTTCCTATGCATAATACTATTTTAGTATTTTCATATAGGCTTTTGAACACCTTTATTAGATGTCGTGGATAGCCTTGTTTTTCCATGATGTACCAAAGTTTATCTCTATTTACACTGTCGAAGGCTTTTTCGAAATCTATAACTGCTAGATGAGTTTGCAGGTTATATTCCCTTCTTTTCTCCAATATTTGTTGTACTATGAAGATGTTATCTGAGGTCAATCTTCCTTTCCTGAAACCATTTTGCTCTTCTCCCATCAGTACTTCTGCAATACTTTTCAGTCTTTTATTTACTATTCTGGCATACAATTTATAAATGCAATTGAGCAAGCTTACCCCTCTATAGTTTTTACATTAGTTACGGTCGCCTTTTTTAAATAGCGATATAAATTCTGCTATTTTCCACTCCTCTGGTATTTTACCTTTTTGCCAGTATACGTTTATCATGTGTAACAGTCTCCATAACAACACCATTCCACCATATTTGAACAGTTCTGTATTTAACTTATCTCTTCCTGAAGCTTTCCTGTTTTTCGTTGTTTTCAATTCCTCTTTCAATTCATGTATGTCAATCAAATCAACTGTCTTATCCTTTTCTTGGCACTCTCTTTGTTGTTCTTCATTTTTGCTTATTTTGCTGCACCAAAGTTCTCTATAATGCCTTATCCATAAATCTTTGTTTATCATACCTATTTTTGCTACAAGTTTTTGTTCTTTATTTATATGTTTTAGGACTTTGTAAGCAATATTTTGTCTTCCGTGTATGTCATGTTCTACTTGGCTTATAAATTTATCCCAAGACTTTTGATGTGCTCTTCACACGATTGTGTTAGCTGTATTTCTTTTTTCTTTATATGTTTTTCTTGATTCCTCATCTTTTTTTTGGATCCATTGTAAATATGCTTTCTGTTTATCCTTTACTGCTTGCGCTATTTCTTCATTCCAGATCCGTAGGCCCTTTCTACATTTGATTTTATTTTTCTTCCCTAGGGCTTCCATTGCAGCTCTTTGAATACATTCTCGTACGTTTTCCCATTCTAAGTCTAGGTTGTCTTCAGTTGGTTTTTCCAGAAGGTACTTCTGGAGTCTGCCTTGGTAGAGATTTACACTTTATTCTTGAAGTAAATGTATTTTATATACCTCCTCTGGAGGTATTTTTTGTCTGGTTCTAATCTTTCTCCATTTTGCCCATATCCTAAAATCAGCTATTAGAATATAGTGATCTGAGCCTATATCACATCCTCTAAATACTCTCACATCATTCAACTGAGATCTTAGTATATCATTTATTAAAAAGTAGTCTATTATTGATCTATATCCTCTAGCTGTCCATGTGTATTTATGAATATCTTTCTTTCGAAAGAAGGTATTTGTCACTTAAAGATGATTCATGCTGGTAAATTGTCTCAGCTCCCGACCATTCATGTTTATATAATATTCTCCACAATTTCCTACAATATCTGGGATTGGTGAGTTTCCCACTCTAGCATTTAGATTAATATAGCATCTTAGCATTTAGATTAATATAACATTTATATAACATATTACTAATTATTTTTGTGGATAAAATTGTGAAAATGAAAGTTTCGTATTCATTTATAAAAATTATCAATAATTTTCATTTGTATCATAACACTTCAGTCAAAGTTTTGATTACTTGAAATTTCACAACCATGTATTGATGTCTGGAATGTTGTTTTGATAATAAGACAATATTAAAAAAGTAATAGTCACTATGTGTATTTTGACTATTTTCTAAATTCATGAATTCAATATTCATGTGTTCGGTCCACAGCAGAGTTGATTTGTATATATTATTACTTATACTGGTTTTGTAAAAATTGTTTATAAAGTGTATGATGTGCCTGTGGGTATATATTGTGTATGTGTGTTTATATATTTATTGTGTATTGTATATTTACATTATCTAGAAACAAATGGTGCTTTTTAAAACAAATTTTTTATTTTGCACTTCCGTAACCAAAATTTCCTTTACTGACATTGAATTTAAAATCTTATTAATTATTAGCTTGTTTGGACAGATTTGGGTAGACTGCTTTTTGACGCTTATTGGCTGGCGGTGGGTGAAAATGACTACTTCTTTCTGATTCGTTGCTTCTGTTGGGGTGGGGCATTCGAATTTCTCCCCTACACAAAAATAAGGGCTCTCCTTTTAACAATAACTGCCGTCTCTGTTTTATATTCTCTGTTCCCACTTCTACTAAACATATGTGGCCAATCATGAACGGTTTCTATTTTGAAGCCTGCTCAACTGATGAGATTTAGATCATTAAGATTAGATTTATTCAGTCAAAAAACAGTAAAAACTGTGTGACGTAGGGGGTTAAAGATTCTGCGCAGGTTTTCTTGAGTTCCAGAATCCCTTCCGTCATTTGAACTATAAATAGTTGAAAGATTAGTAAAAGTTTAACATAAATAAATAAAAATAAATTTTAAAAATCGCGAGATTAGAAATATTTGAAAAATACTAATTTTCGTTTCTGAGTTGTAGAAAACTTTTACAGTAGCATCAGTACACGAATTGCAAGTATGATTTTTCTGCATTACTAACAAAATAGCAACTCACCCTTACCTCTACTCTTACTATTACAAGCAAAAGGAGAGTTCAACAAAACGTGCGCATTTAGCTAGCGCATTTAGGTCCAGAAGAAAAATAAGGGACCATCTCAGCATTTGCTCAATGGATCAGGGAAACTGGACAAAAACCTGATCGAGATAAGGGTCATTGACCCGGAAACTGAAGTACATTATTTGTTACAAACATATTAAGTCTTTTTAAAAACATTATACAAAACAAATGTAAACTAAATCATTATATATCACTGTTTCGTTAAAATAAACATTATTTTTCTTTTTGATAATCAGTATAGTCTCTAATTGTATAGAAACAGTTATGCAGCAGAAAAGATTTTACTTTTAACTTAAATTTGTGAACCGAATTCAATTGTTTAATGTCATCTGGCAGTACGTTGTAAAGTAACGTGCTTGTATTGTATGTGGATTTCTGATAGCGAGCTGTTGATACTGACACTTGCTGAACATGATTTTTACGACGTGTGTTGTAATTATAGATATCAGTACTGCATAAAAATATTTTCCCACCGTTAAGTAAGTCACTTTGACAAATATTACAGATTCGTAAATATATAGGCAAGGCAGTGGTAAGATTTCAAGCTCTATGAAGAGAGGCTTGCAGGGATCACGCGGAGGCCTTTTTTCATTATTCGAATAATTTTATGTTGCAATCTAAAGGTCTGAGTACTACATGATGAGTTTCCCCAGAATTTTATACCATATCTCAGGCTAGAATGTACATTTGCAAAATACATGCAACGAGCTGCATGAAGGCTGACAGAATTCTGAATGCATAACATAATGAACTTAATTTAGTGTTTAATTTTGTTATATGTATATTTCATTTGAGGTTCGACTGAATTGATTTTAGACATTACAGTTAAAGACATAAGTACCTGTAAATTGTGCGATTCTTACTGTAATAGTATAAACTGAAATGGCTGTCATAATATAGAGAAAAGACTGCCAAACTGATCAGTAATGTACTTACATCAAGAAGTTGATCCACATCTTCTATGTCACCCGGAATATCAGAAAGTGCATTAAATATTTGGGCAGAGTTCTCCAAAGTCTTGAGTTCAGGTTCTAAAAATGTATTTTAGTGTAAGAAAATATTTCATTATTACGCAACTATGTTAATTTCAATTTATAAACAACTTATTTAAAATACGTTATCAACACACTCCACCAACCTTTGATTTTCAACATTCCTAGAGTAACTTGGAAGAGAACAATTGATCCATCGAAGAAAAATAAGTCCCAAATGCGTAAGAGAATTTTCATATGTACAACCGACGCAAATAGAGTTAGAAACCAATGAAGAGTTATCAAACTCAGTTCTATGTCATGTTCTTTCAACACCATATCAACATCAGGCAAGTAATTACAAATCAATGTGCGTAGAACTCTCTGGTCAGCTTGAATACCTGCAAGCAATGGAAAACAGAGAAAATCTTTTACCGGAATATACATTGTATAAAAAATACTGCCCTGCAAGTTTTATGCAAACTGGAAACCATGTAGAGATTAAACCTAATTTAATTTCAAAATGAGGATGAACATTAAAGTTCTTCTCAACATGGGTTAAGGAAAGCGGAGAAAAAATGTTGCTGTCTATGACATATGGATATGTTGTGTGCTATAGGTGCCCCTTGAACCGCAACGATTGATTGAATGAATGAATTATATTGCAATAGCGGGGAAGGATATACAGAGCACTCGAGAGGAACATTTGTCTGTGTATATACTATTTTTTCATAAGCAAATTGTACTACATAATAACTTTAGACCAGATTCCCGTTTAACTGCATCGTTTCTCTGCTAACTTGAAGTTGGATGAAAGCTTGACAGATAGGGCACCTCCGGATAAGATGGTAAAAAGTTGCTTAACACCAAATGTCATGTGAGTATTTACACGATAACTCTAACATAAAAATAATATTTTTGAAAGGTTTCATTGCCCCCATCCTACCACCCACACCCCACTACAACCAAAAACGTGTTTTTTCAATGACTGTGAAAAACGTGAATTTTGAATGAACGGGTGTCTGTTCTACAGCAGAACACATATGCCACTGAGTAATTGTTCACTTTTACAAAAGGCAATTTTATAGTGCTATTTTATAGTGCATGTTTGCATTCATATTGTAGCATTTGATAGTGTCAGGAATCCCTGTTTCTGGTTATGACAAAAGGAAAATGACACATTTTTGTCATTTTTTGCATTTTTCATCGATTTCGACTTATGTCATTTTTTAACTTCTCTCGCTATTTTTCATTGATTTACATTACATTTTTCACTTATTTCATTGATTTTAGTTTTAGTTTAATGGTATTAGCTTCAAATAATATTTTCGAAATGCAACATATGTTCTCCACAGAATTCCTGAGTAGCCTATTCAATTTCTTTGCCTATATATTGTAATGTCAGCCGGGGTGAGTCCTACGTAATCTACGGCTGCTATGATGACTACAAGCACTATTGTCGATAGGGCCAATTTCGCGTTAAATAAAGGCAGAGATTTTTTGGTAAAGAACAGCCCAAACCAAACGTTTGGAAGCTAAGTTCCCTTGAACGAAAGGAAGAAGCCTTGAATATATCAGTTACCTATCCAACAGCTTGAGTTATCTGAACTGGTTTTGATCACACTTTTACGTCATTTTTCTTTGCTTTCAGTAAGTTGAGCAATCGTTCTCTAGGGAGAACAGTTCTTTTGTAGGTTCTGCCCTTCCTCGAAAAGTGTCCTCTTACCAGTCCTCCCTTCGATATTTTAAAACTAATGTGTTCATTTAGTATTACATACTCTAGCTGCAGCACTTACCGTAAAATCCAATATGAAGGATATTTCTTGTTCTAAAATGTCCCATATATTGTTAGAAAATGATGTTTATTATTATACAGACTTTGATAACACAAAATAAATGAGAGGGTTTAATACCCATGGAGACACATTACCCCCTCAAGTTATTCTCGCAAAGGCTTAGCCTGTGTTCGAACATGTACAATATATTGCGTATAACGTTTTAAACGAAACATACTTCGAACTAATAATGTATTAATGGGCACAACATTAAAACTGATTACACAACACAACAATAAATTACAAAGTTTTGACAAAATGGTTTATAATAAAACACTATAATGTAAAGTAAAATTATTAAACTAAACTAAATCTAGATCACAAAGACTCCTACAACGCCATAATAATTTAAAGTATAAAGAAAAGATTGCATGTATAAAACTGCTTAACAAATAGAACATTAATTCATTGGCGTTCATTTGTAAGTGTGTTTTTTAATACAGTAAGTGCACTTTGTAATACATTACAGTAAGTGTGGCAGATGCAACTTACACGCTGATTAATAGCATGTTCATAACCTAAAAGGAGGGCTCGAATTCTGTATAAAATATACAAGTAGATAAGGCAAAAGGATAATATGATAAAACAAACACGTAAAATTTATCATTAAACGTAAAAATTGCTGTAAGGGGCAAAAAAACATAAAACATTACACTTATCTCTCAAACAAGATTATATATTCCGCTTTCTTAAAAAAAAAAAAAAAAAACAGAGAGCAGAATCGTCATCGACGCGCACCTCCGAGTTGCCCGGGCCATGTCTTCGTCGGCTGACAACAAATTGGGTACAGTGCAGGAAGACGTATTCCACAGAACGAACCATCCTGAATGAGTCGCAGATGCGAGGAAACCATGAGAAAAGTAGCCATGGCTGAAACGAATACGGGTTAGAATAATTTCCTCACGCCTAGAAGAGCGGGATGATGGACGCCAGGGATTAACAGAATCTTTTATCGCCTTAAGTTTAAAATTGGTATTGTGCCACTGTTTGCCACGCTCTGAAGACGGATCGTTAAAAATGCCTTAACATCGTACAATGGTATAGAAGGAATGTCAATACGGGACTCTCGCGTCGGGGGTTTCGCCGCCTGGTCGGCCAGCTCATTCCCTGTAATTCTCACATGGCTTGTAACCCAAAAAAGTACCAGCGTCTAGTGGCGGGACAGAAGACGAAGTCGGTTTCGAACTGATTTTGTCAGGTAGTCTCAGGAAGAACGGGAGACAGCTTGGAAAGAGTTGAGAGAATTAAAAGAGAGAACTACTCGCCACAACGTCACCGACTCGGGGTATTTTAGGGCTTCGAGAATTGCATACATTTCGGTAGCGAATACAACACTGGGAATGAAGGCAAAGGATTTGGGGGCCCTGATACAATAAAGAATATGTGCCACTGCGTACGACGAACAATGTGTGTACACGAATATATGATGCGTATAGAATTACTTATATTCTGAAAGTGCATCTGGTAAACAAGAGGACTAGTTATTTTTTGGGAATATTGGAGAGTCTCCTGTCAACATTGAATCGGAGGAGTTTCCCTGGTCTTTTCTGCTGTACCCAGTTGTACCCAGGTCTTTTCTTTCGATATACCTTCGTAATTGATCTTCACTTGTCCTTCCCTACGTGTCGTATAATGGTGTCACCAATAACCAGCTCGGAATCAGCACGGTTCACTGCAACACTATGTGCCTCATCAGTTGTCACTCTCACTTCCTTGTCCACCATCTCGCATGCTTCTTAGTTTACTGTTCCAAAGGGTGTTTCTCTTTCTATGTTGCTGCTCAAACATTCCTTCCCAGTCGTTACCTCAACTGGCTTCGGTGACACTTCACCCACCTATCTCCAATTGCTCGTTTTTTGCGACAAAGTCTCCACCAACTTCTGCAGTTTGAAAAGTTCCCGTTCTAGCTTGCGGATTGGTCTGTCGAGGGATTCGCCTTCTCGATAACACATTCAGGCGAGGAAATGATTACTTAAGATGTTTGCAGGTGAACTGTCGTAGCATAATCAATAAAGAAATAGTTTTGGAATCTAGTTGAGGCCTGCGATCCCGACATAGTGATAGGGACTGGGTCGAGGCTAACTGAGGAAATCGGATCCTCTGAAAATTTTCATTCTCATTACAAGATCTTTAGGAGGAATAGAAATGGTAGCGGGAGCGGAGTCTTTATTTGCGTCAAAGCAATCATAGATTTTAGATTAGATTGGGTCAATACAGAGTTTGAAATGTTGGGAATATAAATTACTACTTCAGGAACCGTATTAGAAATTATTGCATTCTATAGGCCACCGAGCGACGGATACATTTTATATGACATCATTCAGAGAATGGGAAACGAAAATGGCCATCCTATTGTTACTGGAGGCGTCTTATTAGCGCAAACTGGGAGGGAGTCGTGAGTGAGGGGAAAGTCCAAATACTTGTGACCAGTGTAGTTTTGAACACCTGATTAACTAAAGTAGTTCGGAGCGGGACGCGGTAGAATGCGGTTTTCGATGTCTATTAATTACGCCGAAAGAACTTTTCATATCCCGTAAAGTTGTTAAGGGTATTAGCGATCACAAAGCGTTTCTGAACTTGGACGAAAATAATTCAAGAAAGGCATTACGATATGAACAAAAGTACGGCAGTACAAGAAAGCAAATGTAGACGGACTTCAAGGTTTGTTTAGGAAACAATACAACCGCTTTCTGAGAAGAGAGGGAGGTATGGAAGAAATATAGGGAGCGTTCAAAGATATTATATACGAAGCCTTTCAAAAGTTTGTTCCATACAAAATTTTAAAAAAATAATCCGGATCTAGAATAAAATGTAAAAATTAGGCGAATAAAGAGGATAACGAGAAAGGCATCTGAGAACAGAAAACCAGTAGCGAGCTTATCAATATTTTTCGAAATCATTCAAAAGAATTGGAGCGAAAATAGAAAATTGCTAAAGAGACATATTTAAAGAATATTCTAGATGGGAAGGGAAATATCTGGACTGGGTTAATAAATAAGTAATAAGTAATAAATATGTTCGTAGAAGGAAGGGAAATAAAGAGAATCTCCCAGTTGTGAAAATCGAAACACGCGCATTACTGCCGATCGGGGAAAAGCTAATGCGTTTAATACGTATTTCAGTTCGGTTTTCAAAAGCAATACGAACCGTCCCCTAATTCAAGGGTCTTTAGTTACATATCAGTTTAATAATGAAATAAACGTTCTACGGAATAAAGTAAAATCTATGAAAAATGGTAAGTCAAGTGGTCCAGACAACATTTTTACGGATATAATTAAACTAAGAGGAGAGGCAATATTACCGTACCGTAATTAGAATATGCCATGTATCAATGAACAATTCGAAAGTAATTGAAGATTGGAAATTAGCTTTTGTCGTACCAATTTTTAAAAGTGGTGACAAAACTATATTAAGTAATTATAGGCCAGTAAGTCTTACGTCAGTGGTTGGCAAACTCATGGAGCATCTATTTGCGGGTTACATTAAGCAAGAATGGGAAATCAAAAATTGCTCTATGATGGCGAACACCGGTTCAGGAGTGGTTATTCATGCGAAAGGCAGGTAGT